AATTGGTCAGTACAGTCAAAACATGGTGCTGAATGAACGCATTATATTTGGTGACTGTATGTTGAAGGGCGTGTCCGTGGCGTGCCCTCAAAGTTGGCCATTTAGAACAAATGTCACACTGTGATGTCATTTTTGCATTTCAGGGCTTCTATTTGAATGATGCCCTCCTACAGCTTCTATCGGATCTTCTTCAAAATTGGGCAGTCCAGTCACAACATGGTGCTGAATGAACGCATTATATTTTGTGACTGTACGTTGAAGGGCGTGTCCGTGGCGTGCCCTCAAAGTTGGCCATTTTGAACAAATGTCACACTGTGATGTCATTTTGGCCTTTCAGGGCTTCTATTTGAATGATCTCCTCCTACAGGTTCTAACGGATCTTCTTCAAAATTGGGCAGTACAGTCACAACATGGTGCTGAATGAACACATTTCATTTTGTGACTGTACGTTGAAGGGCGTGTCCGTGGCGTGCCTCCCTCAAAGGTGGCCATTTTGAAGCCAGTGGTCCTGTATTTGAACAAACAAACTCCTTGAGAATTGATCAGATCTGCTTCAAAACTTGACAGTACTCTTGAATAATCTTGCTGATTACAAGTTGTGCTATTTATGACTGTACGTTGAAGGGCGTGTCCCAGGTGTCTCGTCAAAGTTGGACATTTTGAATTCTGTGGTCTTTTTTTTCAAAGTGATGAAACACAAACACCCCTCCGCTCCCACTAGCCACATCTACAAACCATATTTCCTAGGGAGTATTGTTCGTGGAGCATAGTGTGAAACCGCTGGAAGTCACTTATTAAATTGCAAGATAAATAGGGGACTTATCAAATCGACTTCAAAATTGGACAGTCTTATAAAAACAAAGTGTACATGAAGAATTGAGCTATTTGTGACTGTACGTCAAACTGCGTGCCACTGACCCCTTGTCGAATTCAGATGATTTTCCATTAAGCGGTACTCGTAACTTCAGTGTGCAATGTCCAATTTCCAATAAACTTCATATATTCTGTAACAGTCTCGCCCTGAACGCGTCCTCATAACATCAGCCTACGTATTACAGTCCCGCCATGAACTTGTCTACGTGACAAGATTCAGATAAAGTGAAAGCACAGCATACTGGCAACAGGAAGGAAGCGCTGCGTGGCGATACGGAGCTGATTTGGAGCAGATTTACGTGACGTATTCGCGTTGCGGTCCGCGCTTGTTACGACGGCACGTGGCGTGGCCTCGGCGCACCCCGACCGCACGTGACGCGTTTGCGGCGCGCCCCGACGAGCGCCGGGTGCGAGGTCCCGCCCAACGCTGCTTGCAGCTTTAATTAGGGACCGAGCCAGTATGAACTGGAAGGTCTCTATTGTTTTTCCTTCGTTTATTATTATTATTAGGGACCGAGCCAGTATGAACTGGAAGGTCTCTATTGTTTTTCCTATGTTTATTATTATTATTATTTTTAGCGTCTTTGCTCGCATTTTTCACCCCCTTAACAATTAAAATATTCGCATTTTATTTGGCACATTTGTCAAGCCTCATTTAAATTGGAGATTCTATGCGTCACATGCAGGTCAGCCACTAGGAAGGCCACTAGGTGGCGCTATTTGTAGGCCAATTTCGTTACGCTAATAACTCCCGCATAGTTTGTCTCACATTCAAAAACCTTATATCCACGCGTTCGGTGAATGGAGCTGAACCTCCCCATATAGGCCACGCCCACTTCCGCCTAGATTTTTTTTTTTCTAGAGCGCAAAATGTCCATAAATGACTTTTCCGTGTTCCTCCTACACACTTTGTCCGATGCGCACGAAACTTTGCACGTTTCATCTGTGGACCGTCCTGACAACAAAAGTAATTTGAAGAATTTTGATATTATAAAACATAAGGAAGTTATAAAATTAGCACTTCCTGTTGATTTTTCGTCAAAAAAGGAAGTGGGGTATTTCTCCACATTGGTATGTCCGATTTACACCAACCTTGGGTCCATAGTTCCCCATGTCTTCCTTAAGCATCGTGCACAATTTCAGGTCATCACCACTAGGTGGCGCTCTTTAAAATGAAGGAGTTTATATCTCTGCATCGGCAAGTGTGATTAAGATGAAACTTGGTACGCTGCTTCCCCATGGCTCCCTGAGGCTCACCTAAAAAGGACAAAAAAAATACGCCACTAGGTGGTGCTCTTTTGGCATGATAAATCACTCGTAATAGTTATGAATATGAAATTCACAGGGTACGTGTAGAGTGGTGCCTGAAGCTCACATACCAAAAATCCTGTTTGTCCTGCTTGTAGCGCCCCCTACAGGATAAAAAAACATCAGCCCCGGCGCCACGTTTCACCGACATGTACGAAACTCAATAGGCATGTATAATGTGCCGGGGCGTACAAAAAAGCCTCTTGGACCCATACCTCAAATCCCACAGGAAGTCGGCTATTTTCATTTAAAATTTGCACTTTTGGCGGCCATTTTGTGGTCATTTTGACTCTTTGGGCTTGTTTTAGAACTAACTGCTCCTAGGGAATTTATCAGATCTGCTTCAAAATTGGTCAGTACAGTCAAAACATGGTGCTGAATGAACGCATTATATTTTGTGACTGTACGTTGAAGGGCGTGTCCGTGGCGTGCCCTCAAAGTTGGCCATTTAGAACAAATGTCACACTGTGATGTCATTTTGGCCTTTCAGGGCTTCTATTTGAATGATTTCCTCTGACACGTTCTAACGGATCTTCTTCAAAATTGGGCAGTACAGTCACAACATGGTGCTGAATGAACGCATTTCATTTTGTGACTGTACGTTGAAGGGCGTGTCCGTGGCGTGCCGTCAAAGTTGGCCATTTTGAAGCCCGTGGTCTTGTATTTGAACAAACAAACTCCTTGAGACTTTATCAGATCTGCTTCAAAACTTGACAGTACTCTTGAATAATCTTGCTGATTACAAGTTGTGCTATTTATGACTGTACGTTGAAGGGCGTGTCCCAGGTGTCTCGTCAAAGTTGGACATTTTGAATTCTGTGGTCTTTTTTTTCAAAGTGATGAAACACAAACACCCCTCCGCTCCCACTAGCCACATCTACAAACCATATTTCCTAGGGAGTATTGTTCGTGGAGCATAGTGGGAAACCGCTGGAAGTCACTTATTAAATTGCAAGATAAATAGGGGACTTATCAAATCGACTTCAAAATTGGACAGTCTTATAAAAACAAAGTGTACATGAAGAATTGAGCTATTTGTGACTGTACGTCAAACTGCGTGCCACTGACCCCTTGTCGAATTCAGATGATTTTCCATTAAGCGGTACTCATAACTTCAGTGTGCAATGTCCAATTTCCAATAAACTTCATATATTCTGTAACAGTCTCGCCCTGAACGCGTCCTCATAACATCAGCCTACGTATTACAGTCCCGCCCTGAACTTGTCTACGTGACAAGATTCAGATAAAGTGAAAGCACAGCATACTGGCACCAGGAAGGAAGCGCTGCGTGGCGATACGGAGCTGATTTGGAGCAGATTTACGTGACGTGTTCGCGTTGCGGTCCGCGCTTGTTACGACGGCACGTGCGTGGCCTCGGCGCACCCCGACCGCACGTGACGCGTTTGCGGCGCGCCCCGACGAGCGCCGGGTGCGAGGTCCCGCCCAACGCTGCTTGCAGCTTTAATTATTATTATTATTTTTCAGAACTTTGAGCGCATTTTTCACCCCCTTAACAATTATAATATTCGCATTTTATTTGGCACATTTGTCAAGCCTCATTTAAATTGGAGATTCTATGCGTCACATGCAGGTCAGCCACTAGGAAGGCCACTAGGTGGCGCTATTTGTAGGCCAATTTCGATACGCTAATAACTCCCGCATAGTTTGTCTCACATTCAAAAACCTTATATCCACGCGTTCGGTGAATGGAGCTGAACCTCCCCATATAGGCCACGCCCACTTCCGCCTATAATTTTTTTTTTCTAGAGCGCAAAATGTCCATAAATCACTTTTTCGTGTTCCTCCTACACACTTTTTCCGATGCGCACGAAACTTTGCACGTTTCATCTGTGGACCGTCCTGACAACAAAAGTAATTTGAAGAATTTTGATATTATAAAAAATAAGGAAGTTATACAATTAGCACTTCCTGTTGATTTTTCGTCAAAACAGGAAGTGGGGTATTTCTCCACATTGGTATGTCCGATTTACACCAACCTTGGGTCCATAGTTCCCCATGTCTTCCTTAAGCATCGTGCACAATTTCAGGTCATCACCACAAGGTGGCGCTCTTTAAAATGAAGGAGTTTATAGCTCTACAACGGTATGTGTGATTAAGATGAAACTTGGTACGCTGCTTCCCCATGGCTCCCTGAGGCTCACCTAAAAAGGACAAAAAAAATACGCCACTAGGTGGTGCTCTTTTGGCATGATAAATCACTCGTAATAGTTATGAATATGAAATTCACAGGGTACGTGTAGAGTGGTGCCTGAAGCTCACATACCAAAAATCCTGTTTGTCCTGCTTGTAGCGCCCCCTACAGGATAAAAAAACATCAGCCCCGGCGCCACGTTTCACCGACATGTACGAAACTCAATAGGCATGTATAATGTGCCGGGGCGTACAAAAAAGCCTCTTGGACCCATACCTCAAATCCCACAGGAAGTCGGCTATTTTCATTTAAAATTTGCACTTTTGGCGGCCATTTTGTGGTCATTTTGACTCTTTGGGCTTGTTTTAGAACTAACTGCTCCTAGGGAATTTATCAGATCTGCTTCAAAATTGGTCAGTACAGTCAAAACATGGTGCTGAATGAACGCATTATATTTTGTGACTGTACGTTGAAGGGCGTGTCCGTGGCGTGCCCTCAAAGTTGGCCATTTAGAACAAATGTCACTGTGATGTCATTTTTGCATTTCAGGGCTTCTATTTGAATGATCCCCTCCTACAGCTTCTATCGGATCTTCTTCAAAATTGGGCAGTCCAGTCACAACATGGGGCTGAATGAACGCAAATTATTTGGTGACTGTACGTTGAAGGGCGTGTCCGTGGCGTGCCCTCAAAGTTGGCCATTTAGAACAAATGTCACACTGTGATGTCATTTTGGCCTTTCAGGGCTTCTATTTGAATGATTTCCTCTGACACGTTCTAACGGATCTTCTTCAAAATTGGGCAGTACAGTCACAACGTGGTGCTGAATGAAAGCATTATATTTTGTGACTGTACGTTGAAGGGCGTGTCCGTGGCGTGCCCTCAAAGTTGGCCATTTAGAACAAATGTCACACTGTGATGTCATTTTGGCCTTTCAGGGCTTCTATTTGAATGATCTCCTCCTACACGTTCTAACGGATCTTCTTCAAAATTGGGCAGTACAGTCACAACATGGTGCTGAATGAACGCATTTAATTTTGTGACTGTACGTTGAAGGGCGTGTCCGTGGCCTGCCGTCAAAGTTGGCCATTTTGAAGCCCGTGGTCCTGTATTTGAACAAACAAACTCCTTGAGACTTTATCAGATCTGCTTCAAAACTTGACAGTACTCTTGAATAATCTTGCTGATTACAAGTTGTGCTATTTATGACTGTACGTTGAAGGGCGTGTCCCAGGTGTCTCGTCAAAGTTGGACATTTTGAATTCTGTGGTCTTTTTTTTTCAAAGTGATGAAACACAAACACCCCTCCGCTCCCACTAGCCACATCTACAAACCATATTTCCTAGGGAGTATTGTTCGTGGAGCATAGTGGGAAACCGCTGGAAGTCACTTATTAAATTGCAAGATAAATAGGGGACTTATCAAATCGACTTCAAAATTGGACAGTCTTATAAAAACAAAGTGTACATGAAGAATTGAGCTATTTGTGACTGTACGTCAAACTGCGTGCCACTGACCCCTTGTCGAATTCAGATGATTTTCCATTAAGCGGTACTCATAACTTCAGTGTGCAATGTCCAATTTCCAATAAACTTCATATATTCTGTAACAGTCTCGCCCTGAACGCGTCCTCATAACATCAGCCTACGTATTACAGTCCCGCCCTGAACTTGTCTACGTGACAAGATTCAGATAAAGTGAAAGCACAGCATACTGGCAACAGGAAGGAAGCGCTGCGTGGCGATACGGAGCTGATTTGGAGCAGATTTACGTGACGTATTCGCGTTGCGGTCCGCGCTTGTTACGACGGCACGTGCGTGGCCTCGGCGCACCCCGACCGCACGTGACGCGTTTGCGGCGCCCCGACGAGCGCCGGGTGCGAGGTCCCGCCCAACGCTGCTTGCAGCTTTAATTAGGGACCGAGCCAGTATGAACTGGAAGGTCTCTATTGTTTTTCCTTCGTTTATTATTATTAGCCAGAGAACCTATTGTTTTCCTTCGTTTATATTATTATTATTATTATTATTTTTCAGAACTTTGAGCGCATTTTTCACCCCCCTTAACATTTATAATATTCGCATTTTATTTGGCACATTTGTCAAGCCTCATTTAAATTGGAGATTCTATGCGTCACATGCAGGTCAGCCACTAGGAAGGCCACTAGGTGGCGCTATTTGTAGGCCAATTTCGATACGCTAATAACTCCCGCATAGTTTGTCTCACATTCAAAAACCTTATATCCACGCGTTCGGTGAATGGAGCTGAACCTCCCCATATAGGCCACGCCCACTTCCGCCTAGATTTTTTTTTTTTCTAGAGCGCAAAATGTCCATAAATGACTGTTTCGTGTTCCTCCTACACACTTTGTCCGATTCGCACGAAATTTTGCACGTAGCATCTGTGGACCGTCCTGACAACAAAAGTAATTTGAAGATTTTTGATATTTTAAAAAATAAGGAAGTTATAAAATTAGCACTTCCTGTTGATTTTTCGTCAAAAAAGGAAGTGGGGTATTTCTCCACATTGGTATGTCCGATTTACACCAACCTTGGGTCCATAGTTCCCCATGTCTTCCTTAAGCATCGTGCACAATTTCAGGTCATCACCACAAGGTGGCGCTCTTTAAAATGAAGGAGTTTATAGCTCTACAACGGTATGTGTGATTAAGATGAAACTTGGTACGCTGCTTCCCCATGGCTCCCTGAGGCTCACCTAAAAAGGACAAAAAAAATACGCCACTAGGTGGTGCTCTTTTGGCATGATAAATCACTCGTAATAGTTATGAATATGAAATTCACAGGGCACGTGTAGAGTGGTGCCTGAAGCTCACATACCAAAAATCGTGTTTGTCCTGCTTGTAGCGCCCCCTACAGGATAAAAAAACATCAGCCCCGGCGCCACGTTTCACCGACATGTACGAAACTCAATAGGCATGTATAATGTGCCGGGGCGTACAAAAAAGCCTCTTGGACCCATACCTCAAATCCCACAGGAAGTCGGCTATTTTCATTTAAAATTTGCACTTTTGGCGGCCATTTTGTGGTCATTTTGACTCTTTGGGCTTGTTTTAGAACTAACTGCTCCTAGGGAATTTATCAGATCTGCTTCAAAATTGGTCAGTACAGTCAAAACATGGTGCTGAATGAACGCATTATATTTTGTGACTGTACGTTGAAGGGCGTGTCCGTGGCGTGCCCTCAAAGTTGGCCATTTAGAACAAATGTCACACTGTGATGTCATTTTTGCATTTCAGGGCTTCTATTTGAATGATGCCCTCCTACAGCTTCTATCGGATCTTCTTCAAAATTGGGCAGTCCAGTCACAACATGGTGCTGAATGAACGCATTATATTTTGTGACTGTACGTTGAAGGGCGTGTCCGTGGCGTGCCCTCAAAGTTGGCCATTTAGAACAAATGTCACACTGTGATGTCATTTTGGCCTTTCAGGGCTTCTATTTGAATGATCTCCTCAGCTAACGATCTTCTTCAAAATTGGCAGTACAGTCACAACATGGGCTGAATGAACGCATTATATTTTGTGACTGTACGTTGAAGGGCGTGTCCGTGGCGTGCCCTCAAAGTTGGCCATTTAGAACAAATGTCACACTGTGATGTCATTTTGGCCTTTCAGGGCTTCTATTTGAATGATTTCCTCTGACACGTTCTAACGGATCTTCTTCAAAATTGGGCAGTACAGTCACAACATGGTGCTGAATGAACGCATTTCATTTTGTGACTGTACGTTGAAGGGCGTGTCCGTGGCCTGCCGTCAAAGTTGGCCATTTTGAAGCCCGTGGTCCTGTATTTGAACAAACAAACTCCTTGAGAATTGATCAGATCTGCTTCAAAACTTGACAGTACTCTTGAATAATCTTGCTGATTACAAGTTGTGCTATTTATGACTGTACGTTGAAGGGCGTGTCCCAGGTGTCTCGTCAAAGTTGGACATTTTGAATTCTGTGGTCTTTTTTTCAAAGTGATGAAACACAAACACCCCTCCGCTCCCACTAGCCACATCTACAAACCATATTTCCTAGGGAGTATTGTTCGTGGAGCATAGTGTGAAACCGCTGGAAGTCACTTATTAAATTGCAAGATAAATAGGGGACTTATCAAATCGACTTCATAATTGGACAGTCTTATAAAAACAAAGTGTACATGAAGAATTGAGCTATTTGTGACTGTACGTCAAACTGCGTGCCACTGACCCCTTGTCGAATTCAGATGATTTTCCATTAAGCGGTACTCATAACTTCAGTGTGCAATGTCCAATTTCCAATAAACTTCATATATTCTGTAACAGTCTCGCCCTGAACGCGTCCTCATAACATCAGCCTACGTATTACAGTCCCGCCCTGAACTTGTCTACGTGACAAGATTCAGATAAAGTGAAAGCACAGCATACTGGCAACAGGAAGGAAGCGCTGCGTGGCGATACGGAGCTGATTTGGAGCAGATTTACGTGACGTGTTCGCGTTGCGGTCCGCGCTTGTTACGACGGCACGTGCGTGGCCTCGGCGCACCCCGACCGCACGTGACGCGTTTGCGGCGCGCCCCGACGAGCGCCCGGGTGCGAGGTCCCGCCCAACGCTGCTTGCAGCTTTAATTAGGGACGAGCCAGAGAACGGAAGGTCCCTATTGTTTTTCCTTCTATTATTATTATTATTATTATTTTTTAGAACTTTGAGCGCATTTTTCACCCCCTTAACAATTATAATATTCGCATTTTATTTGGCACATTTGTCAAGCCTCATTTAAATTGGAGATTCTATGCGTCACATGCAGGTCAGCCACTAGGAAGGCCACTAGGTGGCGCTATTTGTAGGCCAATTTCGATACGCTAATAACTCCCGCATAGTTTGTCTCACATTCAAAAACCTTATATCCACGCGTTCGGTGAATGGAGCTGAACCTCCCCATATAGGCCACGCCCACTTCCGCCTAGATTTTTTTTTTTCTAGAGCGCAAAATGTCCATAAATGACTTTTTCGTGTTCCTCCTACACACTTTGTCCGATGCGCACGAAACTTTGCACGTTTCATCTGTGGACCGTCCTGACAACAAAAGTAATTTGAAGAATTTTGATATTATAAAACATAAGGAAGTTATAAAATTAGCACTTCCTGTTGATTTTTCGTCAAAAAAGGAAGTGGGGTATTTCTCCACATTGGTATGTCCGATTTACACCAACCTTGGGTCCATAGTTCCCCATGTCTTCCTTAAGCATCGTGCACAATTTCAGGTCATCACCACAAGGTGGCGCTCTTTAAAATGAAGGAGTTTATAGCTCTACAACGGTATGTGTGATTAAGATGAAACTTGGTACGCTGCTTCCCCATGGCTCCCTGAGGCTCACCTAAAAAGGACAAAAAAAATACGCCACTAGGTGGTGCTCTTTTGGCATGATAAATCACTCGTAATAGTTATGAATATGAAATTCACAGGGTACGTGTAGAGTGGTGCCTGAAGCTCACATACCAAAAATCCTGTTTGTCCTGCTTGTAGCGCCCCCTACAGGATAAAAAAACATCAGCCCCGGCGCCACGTTTCACCGACATGTACGAAACTCAATAGGCATGTATAATGTGCCGGGGCGTACAAAAAAGCCTCTTGGACCCATACCTCAAATCCCACAGGAAGTCGGCTATTTTCATTTAAAATTTGCACTTTTGGCGGCCATTTTGTGGTCATTTTGACTCTTTGGGCTTGTTTTAGAACTAACTGCTCCTAGGGAATTTATCAGATCTGCTTCAAAATTGGTCAGTACAGTCAAAACATGGTGCTGAATGAACGCATTATATTTTGTGACTGTACGTTGAAGGGCGTGTCCGTGGCGTGCCCTCAAAGTTGGCCATTTAGAACAAATGTCACACTGTGATGTCATTTTGGCCTTTCAGGGCTTCTATTTGAATGATTTCCTCTGACACGTTCTAACGGATCTTCTTCAAAATTGGGCAGTACAGTCACAACATGGTGCTGAATGAACGCATTTCATTTTGTGACTGTACGTTGAAGGGCGTGTCCGTGGCGTGCCGTCAAAGTTGGCCATTTTGAAGCCCGTGGTCCTGTATTTGAACAAACAAACTCCTTGAGAATTGATCAGATCTGCTTCAAAACTTGACAGTACTCTTGAATAATCTTGCTGATTACAAGTTGTGCTATTTATGACTGTACGTTGAAGGGCGTGTCCCAGGTGTCTCGTCAAAGTTGGACATTTTGAATTCTGTGGTCTTTTTTTTCAAAGTGATGAAACACAAACACCCCTCCGCTCCCACTAGCCACATCTACAAACCATATTTCCTAGGGAGTATTGTTCGTGGAGCATAGTGTGAAACCGCTGGAAGTCACTTATTAAATTGCAAGATAAATAGGGGACTTATCAAATCGACTTCAAAATTGGACAGTCTTGTAAAAACAAAGTGTACATGAAGAATTGAGCTATTTGTGACTGTACGTCAAACTGCGTGCCACTGACCCCTTGTCGAATTCAGATGATTTTCCATTAAGCGGTACTCATAACTTCAGTGTGCAATGTCCAATTTCCAATAAACTTCATATATTCTGTAACAGTCTCGCCCTGAACGCGTCCTCATAACATCAGCCTACGTATTACAGTCCCGCCCTGAACTTGTCTACGTGACAATGTTCAGATACAGTGAAAGCACCGCATACTGGCAACAGGAAGGAAGCGCTGCGTGGCGATACGGAGCTGATTTGAAGCAGATTTACGTGACGTGTTCGCGTTGCGGTCCGCGCTTCTTACGACGACACGTGACGTGGCCTCGGCGCACCCCGACCGCACGTGACGCCTTTGCGGCGCGCCCCGACGAGCGCCGGGTGCGAGGTCCCGCCCAACGCTGCTTGCAGCTTTAATTAGGGACACTTAGGGACCGAGCCAGTACTGAACTGGAAGGTCCCTATTGTTTTTCCTATGTTTATTATTATTATTTTATTATTATTTTTCAGAACATTGAGCGCATTTTTCACCCCCTTAACACATTATCGAATATTCGCATTTTATTTGGCACATTTGTCAAGCCTCATTTAAACTCGGAGATTCTATGCGTCACATGCAGATCAGCCACTAGGTAGGCCACTAGGTGGCGCTATTTGTAGGCCAATTTTGATAGGCTAATAACTCCCGCATAGTTTGTCTCACATTCAAAAACCTTATATCCACGCGTTCGGTGAATGGAGCTGAACCTCCCCATATAGGCCACGCCCACTTCCGCCTAGATTTTTTTTTTTTTAGAGCGCAAAATGTCCATAAATGACTTTTTCGTGTTCCTCCTACACACTTTGTCCGATTCGCACGAAATTTTGCACGTAGCATCTGTGGACCGCCCTGACAACAAAAGTAATTTGAAGAATTTTGATATTTTAAAAAATAAGGAAGTTATAAAATTAGCACTTCCTGTTGATTTTTCGTCAAAAAAGGAAGTGGGGCATTTCTCCACATTGGTATGTCCGATTTACACCAAGCTTGGGTCCATAGTTCCCCATGTCTTCCTTAGGCATCGTGCACAATTTCAGGTCATCACCACAAGGTGGCGCTCTTTAAAATGAAGGAGTTTATAGCTCTACAACGGTATGTGTGATTAAGATGAAACTTGGTACGCTGCTTCCCCATGGCTCCCTGAGGCTCCCCTAAAAAGGAAAAAAAATCACGCCACTAGGTGGCACTCTGGTGGCAGGGTAAATCACTGTGCGGAGACCGTAATAGTTATGAATATGAAATTCACAGGGCACGTGTAGAGTGCTGCCTGAAGCTCACATACCAAAAATTGTGTTTGTCGTGCTTGTAGCGCCCCCTACAGGATAAAAAAACATCAGCCCCGGCGCCACGTTTCACCGATATGTACGAAACTCAATAGGCATGTATAATGTGCCGGGGCGTACAAAAAAGCCTCTTGGACCCATACCTCAAATCCCACAGGAAGTCGGCTATTTTCATTTAAAATTTGCACTTTTGGCAGCCATTTTGTGGTCATTTTGACTCTTTGGGCTTGTTTTAGAACTAACTGCTCCTAGGGAATTTATCGGATCTGCTTCAAAATTGGTCAGTACAGTCAAAACATGGTGCTGAATGAACGCATTATATTTGGTGACTGTACGTTGAAGGGCGTGTCCGTGGCGTGCCCTCAAAGTTGGCCATTTAGAACAAATGTCACACTGTGATGTCATTTTTGCATTTCAGGGCTTCTATTTGAATGATGCCCTCCTACAGCTTCTATCGGATCTTCTTCAAAATTGGGCAGTCCAGTCACAACATGGTGCTGAATGAACGCATTATATTTTGTGACTGTACGTTGAAGGGCGTGTCCGTGGCGTGCCCTCAAAGTTGGCCATTTTAGAACAAATGTCACACTGTGATGTCATTTTGGCCTTTCAGGGCTTCTATTTGAATGATCTCCTCCTACAGGTTCTAACGGATCTTCTTCAAAATTGGGCAGTACAGTCACAACATGGTGCTGAATGAACGCATTTCATTTTGTGACTGTACGTTGAAGGGCGTGTCCGTGGCGTGCCGTCAAAGTTGGCCATTTTGAAGCCCGTGGTCCTGTATTTGAACAAACAAACTCCTTGAGACTTTATCAGATCTGCTTCAAAACTTGACAGTACTCTTGAATAATCTTGCTGATTACAAGTTGTGCTATTTATGACTGTACGTTGAAGGGCGTGTCCCAGGTGTCTCGTCAAAGTTGGACATTTTGAATTCTGTGGTCTTTTTTTTCAAAGTGATGAAACACAAACACCCCTCCGCTCCCACTAGCCACATCTACAAACCATATTTCCTAGGGAGTATTGTTCGTGGAGCATAGTGTGAAACCGCTGGAAGTCACTTATTAAATTGCAAGATAAATAGGGGACTTATCAAATCGACTTCAAAATTGGACAGTCTTATAAAAACAAAGTGTACATGAAGAATTGAGCTATTTGTGACTGTACGTCAAACTGCGTGCCACTGACCCCTTGTCGAATTCAGATGATTTTCCATTAAGCGGTACTCATAACTTCAGTGTGCAATGTCCAATTTCCAATAAACTTCATATATTCTGTAACAGTCTCGCCCTGAACACGTCCTCATAACATCAGCCTACGTATTACAGTCCCGCCCTGAACTTGTCTACGTGACAAGATTCAGATAAAGTGAAAGCACAGCATACTGGCAACAGGAAGGAAGCGCTGCGTGGCGATACGGAGCTGATTTGGAGCAGATTTACGTGACGTATTCGCGTTGCGGTCCGCGCTTGTTACGACGGCACGTGGCGTGGCCTCGGCGCACCCCGACCGCACGTGACGCGTTTGCGGCGCGCCCCCGCGAGGCGCCGGGTGCGAGGTCCCGCCCAACGCTGCTTGCAGCTTTAATTAGGGACCGAGCCAGTATGAACTGGAAGGTCTCTATTGTTTTTCCTTCGTTTATTATTATTATTATTATTTTATTATTATTTTTAGGGACTTTGAGCGCATTTTTCACCCCCTTAACATTTAAAATATTCGCATTTTATTTGGCACATTTGTCAAGCCTCATTTAAATTGGAGATTCTATGCGTCACATGCAGGTCAGCCACTAGGAAGGCCACTAGGTGGCGCTATTTGTAGGCCAATTTCGATACGCTAATAACTCCCGCATAGTTTGTCTCACATTCAAAAACCTTATATCCACGCGTTCGGTGAATGGAGCTGAACCTCCCCATATAGGCCACGCCCACTTCCGCCTAGATTTTTTTTTTTTAGAGCGCAAAATGTCCATAAATCACTTTTTCGTGTTCCTCCTACACACTTTGTCCGATGCGCACGAAACTTTGCACGTTTCATCTGTGGACCGTCCTGACAACAAAAGTAATTTGAAGAATTTTGATATTATAAAACATAAGGAAGTTATAAAATTAGCACTTCCTGTTGATTTTTCGTCAAAAAAGGAAGTGGGGTATTTCTCCACATTGGTATGTCCGATTTACACCAACCTTGGGTCCATAGTTCCCCATGTCTTCCTTATGCATCGTGCACAATTTCAGGTCATCACCACAAGGTGGCGCTCTTTAAAATGAAGGAGTTTATAGCTCTACAACGGTATGTGTGATTAAGATGAAACTTGGTACGCTGCTTCCCCATGGCTCCCTGAGGCTCACCTAAAAAGGACAAAAAAATACGCCACTAGGTGGTGCTCTTTTGGCATGATAAATCACTGTCGTAATAGTTATGAATATGAAATTCACAGGGCACGTGTAGAGTGGTGCCTGAAGCTCACATACCAAAAATCCTGTTTGTCCTGCTTGTAGCGCCCCCTACAGGATAAAAAAACATCAGCCCCGGCGCCACGTTTCACCGACATGTACGAAACTCAATAGGCATGTATAATGTGCCGGGGCGTACAAAAAAGCCTCTTGGACCCATACCTCAAATCCCACAGGAAGTCGGCTATTTTCATTTAAAATTTGCACTTTTGGCGGCCATTTTGTGGTCATTTTGACTCTTTGGGCTTGTTTTAGAACTAACTGCTCCTAGGGAATTTATCAGATCTGCTTCAAAATTGGTCAGTACAGTCAAAACATGGTGCTGAATGAACGCATTATATTTTGTGACTGTACGTTGAAGGGCGTGTCCGTGGCGTGCCCTCAAAGTTGGCCATTTAGAACAAATGTCACTGTGATGTCATTTTTGCATTTCAGGGCTTCTATTTGAATGATCCCCTCCTACAGCTTCTATCGGATCTTCTTCAAAATTGGGCAGTCCAGTCACAACATGGGGCTGAATGAACGCATTATATTTGGTGACTGTACGTTGAAGGGCGTGTCCGTGGCGTGCCCTCAAAGTTGGCCATTTAGAACAAATGTCACACTGTGATGTCATTTTGGCCTTTCAGGGCTTCTATTTGAATGATTTCCTCTGACACGTTCTAACGGATCTTCTTCAAAATTGGGCAGTACAGTCACAACGTGGTGCTGAATGAACGCATTATATTTTGTGACTGTACGTTGAAGGGCGTGTCCGTGGCGTGCCCTCAAAGTTGGCCATTTAGAACAAATGTCACACTGTGATGTCATTTTGGCCTTTCAGGGCTTCTATTTGAATGATTTCCTCCTACACGTTCTAACGGATCTTCTTCAAAATTGGGCAGTACAGTCACAACATGGTGCTGAATGAACGCATTTCATTTTGTGACTGTACGTTGAAGGGCGTGTCCGTGGCGTGCCGTCAAAGTTGGCCATTTTGAAGCCCGTGGTCCTGTATTTGAACAAACAAACTCCTTGAGACTTTATCAGATCTGCTTCAAAACTTGACAGTACTCTTGAATAATCTTGCTGATTACAAGTTGTGCTATTTATGACTGTACGTTGAAGGGCGTGTCCCAGGTGTCTCGTCAAAGTTGGACATTTTGAATTCTGTGGTCTTTTTTTTCAAAGTGATGAAACACAAACACCCCTCCGCTCCCACTAGCCACATCTACAAACCATATTTCCTAGGGAGTATTGTTCGTGGAGCATAGTGTGAAACCGCTGGAAGTCACTTATTAAATTGCAAGATAAATAGGGGACTTATCAAATCGACTTCAAAATTGGACAGTCTTATAAAAACAAAGTGTACATGAAGAATTGAGCTATTTGTGACTGTACGTCAAACTGCGTGCCACTGACCCCTTGTCGAATTCAGATGATTTTCCATTAAGCGGTACTCATAACTTCAGTGTGCAATGTCCAATTTCCAATAAACTTCATATATTCTGTAACAGTCTCGCCCTGAACGCGTCCTCATAACATCAGCCTACGTATTACAGTCCCGCCCTGAACTTGTCTACGTGACAAGATTCAGATAAAGTGAAAGCACAGCATACTGGCAACAGGAAGGAAGCGCTGCGTGGCGATACGGAGCTGATTTGGAGCAGATTTACGTGACGTATTCGCGTTGCGGTCCGCGCTTGTTACGACGGCACGTGGCGTGGCCTCGGCGCACCCCGACCGCACGTGACGCGTTTGCGGCGCGCCCCGACGAGCGCCGGGTGCGAGGTCCCGCCCAACGCTGCTTGCAGCTTTAATTAGGGACCGAGCCAGTATGAACTGGAAGGTCTCTATTGTTTTTCCTTCGTTTATTATTATTATTATTATTATTATTTTTATAATTTTAGCGACTTTTCTCACCCCCTTAACCAAACATTTTTAAAATATTCGCATTTTATTTGGCACATTTGTCAAGCCTCATTTAAATTGGAGATTCTATGCGTCACATGCAGGTCAGCCACTAGGAAGGCCACTAGGTGGCGCTATTTGTAGGCCAATTTCGATACGCTAATAACTCCCGCATAGTTTGTCTCACATTCAAAAACCTTATATCCACGCGTTCGGTGAATGGAGCTGAACCTCCCCATATAGGCCACGCCCACTTCCGCCTAGATTTTTTTTTTTCTAGAGCGCAAAATGTCCATAAATCACTTTTTCGTGTTCCTCCTACACACTTTTTCCGATGCGCACGAAACTTTGCACGTTTCATCTGTGGACCGTCCTGACAACAAAAGTAATTTGAAGAATTTTGATATTATAAAACATAAGGAAGTTATACAATTAGCACTTCCTGTTGATTTTTCGTCAAAAAAGGAAGTGGGGTATTTCTCCACATTGGTATGTCCGATTTACACCAACCTTGGGTCCATAGTTCCCCATGTCTTCCTTATGTATCGTGCACAATTTCAGGTCATCACCACAAGGTGGCGCTCTTTAAAATGAAGGAGTTTATATCTCTGCATCGGCAAGTGTGATTAAGATGAAACTTGGTACGCTGCTTCCCCATGGCTCCCTGAGGCTCACCTAAAAAGGACAAAAAAAATACGCCACTAGGTGGTGCTCTTTTGGCATGATAAATCACTCGTAATAGTTATGAATATGAAATTCACAGGGTACGTGTAGAGTGGTGCCTGAAGCTCACATACCAAAAATCCTGTTTGTCCTGCTTGTAGCGCCCCCCTACAGGATAAAAAAACATCAGCCCCGGCGCCACGTTTCACCGACATGTACGAAACTCAATAGGCATGTATAATGTGCCGGGGCGTACAAAAAAGCCTCTTGGACCCATACCTCAAATCCCACAGGAAGTCGGCTATTTTCATTTAAAATTTGCACTTTTGGCGGCCATTTTGTGGTCATTTTGACTCTTTGGGCTTGTTTTAGAACTAACTGCTCCTAGGGAATTTATCAGATCTGCTTCAAAATTGGTCAGTACAGTCAAAACATGGTGCTGAATGAACGCATTATATTTTGTGACTGTACGTTGAAGGGCGTGTCCGTGGCGTGCCCTCAAAGTTGGCCATTTAGAACAAATGTCACTGTGATGTCATTTTTGCATTTCAGGGCTTCTATTTGAATGATCCCCTCCTACAGCTTCTATCGGATCTTCTTCAAAATTGGGCAGTCCAGTCACAACATGGGGCTGAATGAACACATAATATTTGGTGACTGTACGTTGAAGGGCGTGTCCGTGGCGTGCCCTCAAAGTTGGCCATTTAGAACAAATGTCACACTGTGATGTCATTTTGGCCTTTCAGGGCTTCTATTTGAATGATTTCCTCTGACACGTTCTAACGGATCTTCTTCAAAATTGGGCAGTACAGTCACAACGTGGTGCTGAATGAAAGCAATATATTTTGTGACTGTACGTTGAAGGGCGTGTCCGTGGCGTGCCCTCAAAGTTGGCCATTTAGAACAAATGTCACACTGTGATGTCATTTTGGCCTTTCAGGGCTTCTATTTGAATGATCTCCTCCTACACGTTCTAACGGATCTTCTTCAAAATTGGGCAGTACAGTCACAACATGGTGCTGAATGAACGCATTTCATTTTGTGACTGTACGTTGAAGGGCGTGTCCGTGGCCTGCCGTCAAAGTTGGCCATTTTGAAGCCCGTGGTCCTGTATTTGAACAAACAAACTCCTTGAGAATTGATCAGATCTGCTTCAAAACTTGACAGTACTCTTGAATAATCTTGCTGATTACAAGTTGTGCTATTTATGACTGTACGTTGAAGGGCGTGTCCCAGGTGTCTCGTCAAAGTTGGACATTTTGAATTCTGTGGTCTTTTTTTTCAAAGTGATGAAACACAAACACCCCTCCGCTCCCACTAGCCACATCTACAAACCATATTTCCTAGGGAGTATTGTTCGTGGAGCATAGTGTGAAACCGCTGGAAGTCACTTATTAAATTGCAAGATAAATAGGGGACTTATCAAATCGACTTCAAAATTGGACAGTCTTATAAAAACAAAGTGTACATGAAGAATTGAGCTATTTGTGACTGTACGTCAAACTGCGTGCCACTGACCCCTTGTCGAATTCAGATGATTTTCCATTAAGCGGTACTCATAACTTCAGTGTGCAATGTCCAATTTCCAATAAACTTCATATATTCTGTAACAGTCTCGCCCTGAACGCGTCCTCATAACATCAGCCTACGTATTACAGTCCCGCCCTGAACTTGTCTACGTGACAAGATTCAGATAAAGTGAAAGCACAGCATACTGGCAACAGGAAGGAAGCGCTGCGTGGCGATACGGAGCTGATTTGGAGCAGATTTACGTGACGTATTCGCGTTGCGGTCCGCGCTTGTTACGACGGCACGTGGCGTGGCCTCGGCGCACCCCGACCGCACGTGACGCGTTTGCGGCGCGCCCCGACGAGCGCCGGGTGCGAGGTCCCGCCCAACGCTGCTTGCAGCTTTAATTATTATTATATCTATTGTTTTCCTTTTTATATTATTATTATTATTTTTAGGACTTTGAGCTCGCATTTTTCACCCCCTTAACATTTATAATATTCGCATTTTATTTGGCACATTTGTCAAGCCTCATTTAAATTGGAGATTCTATGCGTCACATGCAGGTCAGCCACTAGGAAGGCCACTAGGTGGCGCTGTTTGTAGGCCAATTTCGATACGCTAATAACTCCCGCATAGTTTGTCTCACATTCAAAAACCTTATATCCACGCGTTCGGTGAATGGAGCTGAACCTCCCCATATAGGCCACGCCCACTTCCGCCTAGATTTTTTTTTTTTCTAGAGCGCAAAATGTCCATAAATCACTTTTTCGTGTTCCTCCTACGCACTTTGTCCGATGCGCACGAAACTTTGCACGTTTCAACTGTGGACCGTCCTGACAACAAAAGTAATTTGAAGAATTTTGATATTATAAAACATAAGGAAGTTATAAAATTAGCACTTCCTGTTGATTTTTCGTCAAAAAAGGAAGTGGGGTATTTCTCCACATTGGTATGTCCGATTTACACCAAGCTTGGGTCCATAGTTCCCCATGTCTTCCTTAGGCATCGTGCACAATTTCAGGTCATCACCACAAGGTGGCGCTCTTTAAAATGAAGGAGTTTATAGCTCTACAACGGTATGTGTGATTAAGATGAAACTTGGTACGCTGCTTCCCCATGGCTCCCTGAGGCTCACCTAAAAAGGACAAAAAAAATCACGCCACTAGGTGGTGCTCTTTTGGCATGATAAATCACTGAACGTAATAGTTATGAATATGAAATTCACAGGGCACGTGTAGAGTGGTGCCTGAAGCTCACATACCAAAAATCCTGTTTGTCCTGCTTGTAGCGCCCCCTACAGGATAAAAAAACATCAGCCCCGGCGCCACGTTTCACCGACATGTACGAAACTCAATAGGCATGTATAATGTGCCGGGGCGTACAAAAAAGCCTCTTGGACCCATACCTCAAATCCCACAGGAAGTCGGCTATTTTCATTTAAAATTTGCACTTTTGGCGGCCATTTTGTGGTCATTTTGACTCTTTGGGCTTGTTTTAGAACTAACTGCTCCTAGGGAATTTATCAGATCTGCTTCAAAATTGGTCAGTACAGTCAAAACATGGTGCTGAATGAACGCATTATATTTTGTGACTG